TACATACATACATATATACATACATATATATATATATATATATTCACCAAGGACAGATTAAATTGATCAAAATAGACAGTAAAATACTTAGAATGTTAAAAATAAAAGGTAACACTTTACAATAAGGATCTATTAGTTAATGTTAGTTAACTAACAAACAATGAACAATACATTTCTTACAGTATTTATTCATCTTTGTTAATGTAAGTTAATGAAAATACAGTCGTTCACTGTTAGTTCATGTTAATTCACAGTGCATTAATGTTAACAAGCACAACTTTTGATTTTAATAATGCATTAGTAAATGTTGGAATTAACATTAACTAAGATTAATAAATGCTGTAGAAGTATTGTTCATTCTTAGTTCGTTAACTAAAGTTGTTAACTAATGAACCTTATTTTAAAGTGTTATCAGATCAAATATAAATGTTCAAATTCAACTTTCTGTTCGTTGACGAATCCTGAAAAAAAATTGTATCATTAATGTAATAATATTTCACAATATTACAATTTTTGTGCTGTATTTTTAGTGCAGCCTTGGTGAGCATAGAGACTAAAAACATTAAAAAAATGTTTACCTAACCCGAACTTTTGAATGGTAGTGTAAATGCATAGCATTACTAATAAAAACAAAAAAATCAGCCTGTTTTGAGTTACCATCTTTCTCCAGATTTCCAGAACTATCTGCGCACACAGACAGGCAGCACAACTACGATCAACATCATCATCTGCACTGTTGACTATCTGCTCAGACTACAGGTACAGCTTCAGCTCAACTGTCTTCCTCTACGTCCCTATATACAGTATACTATCGTCAAAAGTATTCGGACACTTACAAATGTGTTAATGTCATTGTGTTTGAGAACAAGAAAACAAGTGGCAGATGGCTAAAAACATCAGTGAAATGACATTCAAATGTGGCTCAAGTAAGCTTGGTTGTCTCTTATTTTCGTCCTTACTCTTCATTCCTGTCTCAGGAGTCTATCAGTGACTTCTACTGGTATTACTCTGGGAAGGATATCATTGATGAACCAGGCAAGAGAAACTTTTCTAAGGCAATGACGGTTGCTAAACAGGTTTTCAACAGCCTGACAGAGTATATCCAGGTACTGATGTCACCACTATATGCAGTCAAGCTCTTTCAAACTGGCAAATTTCCATCTTTAACATAGTTTATCTTTTTTTTTTCACCATAGGGTCCTTGCACTGGTAATCAGCAGTCTCTGGCTCACAGCAGATTGTGGGATGCAGTGGTGGGCTTCTTGCATGTGTTCGCACACATGATGATGAAGCTAGCACAGGTAGGAACACATATGTTGAGCACACACACACACCCCTAACGTGACTGATAAATCTTATTATATTAATCGATTTGATTGCATCTAGAAAACCCCGGAATTTTCCTGGAAAGGTTCCATCAACACTGAATCAGTAACATCTGTATGTTGTTTTATTTTGACATTAAAATACTTGTCGTTGAGTTTTGCCTAATCTAAAATCAAAACATAATTTCACCAACTTTACACAGAGGAAATAAGAGAAAAACAATGCATTGTATTTTTTAGTAAGTATTGCTGCAAAAAAATGTTTGTGAAAGTGTTTATAAGAGCAGGAATATTTGGAAGTTAAATGTTCCAAATGTACAGTTTTATAGTGTTTAACTTGCATTGAGCTTATAATTTGTGCAACAGAATAGAAGTCAAATGCATGTCATACATGTACATACTTATATATTCTATATAAGTATGATCAGAGTAGACTAATGAAGAATATTTTCTCTGTTTTGGAAGTTGCAATTTTTTCAGCACTAATGTTTAGTTGTTACTATGCATAGTCTAATTAAATAATAATTAAATTATTTAATTTTATCCTTTAAAAAAAATAAATAAATTACTAATCTGTTTACTAATTTGTTGACTGTGGTTGGTTATTAACTTCCTGAGTAGGGGTGTTCGATTCCAGGTTTTTCAGAGTTGACAAACTCCATTCTCGACTCCATTTACTTTACATCAAATAATACAAGTTTGCAGTCGTTACTACACACTTAATTAACGACTCCGACTCTAGGTCTATTCAGAGTTGAGGAATCGACTCTTTTGGAGTCAACTCCCCATCACTATTCCGGAGTCAATTTCTGCCTCTTCATATCATTAATTATAGATTTAGAAGAAACCTTATCGGAGGTATGGACCTTTTTTACATTTCCGGGTTTCTCAGCCGCGGAAGTCGTCATAGTTGGGTTAACTTGAAGAGTGGTGAATGGGAGAGTACCACAAATATATTTTTTGCACTCCCATTTGCTCAAATAGCAAAAGAAAAACTCCACGATAGTGTTTTCATGACTTTCAATAAAAGGAAAAAAATTGAGAGACTGATCACGGCAGTCAGAAGAGAGAACGTTGTCAAATTTACCATCCCTCCCATAGATGCTGCATTAGAAACACCCTCGCATTAGCGTTAACTGTTTTTTTATAATTTGATGCAAAGGTGATATAATACAAAGAATAGTGTTGTAAATGTACATACATTAATAAAACGGATAGTTCCGGTCCTTGATTCTGATTGGCTGAGCCATGTTCAAAGCTGTTGTACATTACAATCATACACCTTTGTTTACGTTTGTCTGTTGCTTGGCAACCACTTTGTTGCAACCACAACTGATTCTGAGGAACTACATTGTTTGGTGGAAGAATACTGTTTTTATT